AGGTTGTCATGTCTTCTTCCCATGGAGAAGGGCCGATGGGTTAATATGAGGAGGTGAAGCAGGAAATACATCCATTCCAGGCCCCGGGCTAATTAAACTGTTTGTTTTCCTCCCTCCGCCTCATTAGCCACCGTCAGGATTAACTTATTTGCCGTTAGATGCCTCTCGGTTTGAGGATGACATCTCGGTTGCCGGGGCAACCGGCGTGCAGGTTTTCACCGCTGTGGACAGCGACGGCCTTCAGCATCCTTGGATTTGTTTTTATCATACCTACGTAATTCGAACATTTCGTGCTTGAGAATTTAAAAAAAAATTGTATCAGAATTGTGGAAACTTACGGGGATTCCAGGCTCGCCGACCACCGTTTCTGCCTGAAAGAAAACAGATTCGTTCAAACAGAAATCCCAGCAATGTCATTCCCAGCAATGTCAGTCTCTGCAATGAGCTGTGTTACCTCAGCATCCCACCATGGAGTACTACCCCTATGGCACTGACACAGGTCGTGGCGTTGTGCTTAAAGTGATCCTATTTTAAACTGCTGCTATTGCCTTTGCGTGCCAGAAATCCTTCTTTGTGTATATCTCTGAAACTAGTTTGGCATTGTTACTAGGGCTTGAGGTATAAGCCCTGTCCTCAGTGGTGTCACCAGGCCGTGTGTCACCCGGTGGCACCTCTGGGTGTCACCCGGCGCGCACGCCATTGTGTATACACGTCACTGCACACAAGATTAATGTCACGTGCACTTCACTGCCGGCGGCCCTCTCGGTTATGGAAGCCGGCAAAGATAGGAGGGAAAGTAAGGTATGCCGCCGAGTCCCCTCCTCTCTCATGCAGCTGTCGGGCTCTAGGTCCATGACCGAGCGCCTGACTTTTCAGAGGGGGTGACTGCGTAATTTTGGTGTCGTCCACTCGGTTGGTGTCATCAGGTGCAGGCCGCACCCCCTTGTGACGCCACTGCCCGGGCCGGATTTAGTCTCTCTGCTGCCCTCAATGTACCCCCCTCCACGCCAACCAGTCCCCCTCCCTCTTGCCAATGGAGAATGGCAACCAGATCGTGGGGGCAGCAGGGTTGGTTTTAATATTTTTTTCTTTATTTTTTTTTTACTTTTTGATCACTTTTTTTTATTTTCTTAATTCTTATTTTTTTAGTTTTTATTTATCTTATTATCTTGAAAATTTTTATAAGTGCCGCCCCTCTACTCCCTGCTGCCCCGAGGCCAGGCCTTGGTGGCCTTGTGGGAAAATCCAGCCCTGGCCACTGCCTGTCCTCTTTCCATCCCAAAGGTATTACACTCCGGCACTCCAGCTGTAGTTGAAACAACAAATCCCATCTCGTATCTGCCTCTGGGAGCTATGCCTGTGGCTGTCAGAGTCTTGCAATGCATCATGGGACATTTAGCTCCACAACAGCTGAAGTGCTGAGTTCCTCTATCCGGTAAGAGCAGCCATGTTGCTTATTGAGGGTTGGTGATGGATTGGCAATATATCTTAAGCCCAAACTTTTTTTATTTTTATTGTTGTATTGTATTAAAACCCTTGTCAGGTATTTTTTGCCATCTTTGAAGGGATTTCTCTTCACTTCCTGTCCTGTAGACACAACAGGAAGTGAAAGGCAATGTCTCTAAAAAGTAGAAAATCCCCTTTTATAGCCATTCCTGTTACCGTGACAACTCAAAATGTTGGATTTCCCTCACTTTTTGTCTCTTGTTCCTCCAGTTAAGAATTAATCACCAGCACACATATGATTCATGCGATTCCCCAATAGATGGTTTTCCACTGTAATCCCTGCAAAATCCCTGGCAGTCGCACATTCTTCATGGTCACAACTGCTATACAGATAGTAACACTGTAGATCTATGGTATTTACATCCATTTCTGATCTCTACTTACCGTTCCCGCTGTTCCCGGTAATCCAGGGGGGCCGGCAATACCCTGTTTAAGTAAAAGAAACAATTTTGGTTAAAACAGATTGTAATACGCTATGGAATCAGAGAGGATTCATGACGGTGTCACATGGTCACCTCTGCTGCATATGCCAGTGGCTGCAATTTTATACATCATTGGACTTTGCTTTATTTATTTTTTTATTTTGTTTAAGTTACAATGAATTGTTAAGGGGCCACATTATCTACTGAGGGCCACACCTACTGAAGTCCATTAAGTGTTAAAGGAGAACTATGAGTTGAGTTATTTTCACTCATCCTCATAGTTAGAGCCGACGTGTGACAATGAAACTGTCACACGTCGGCTCAATAGATCGGGAAGTGAGTGAACACATACCGGCGCTCGCTCAATTCTCAATCATCTCCCTGCAGAGAGCCGTGACTGTCACTCATGGCTCCCTGCAGGGATTCCTCCCCGCTCCGATCCTCCAGCGCTGTCTGGAGGAACGGATGGGGGAGGGGGCGGGTACAGCTGGCTCTGCCTCTAGATAGGCAGAGCTAGCTGTCACTCACGCAGCTGGGTAGATCTGACAGTAATGTCGAGATCTGCCCCGGCTGCAGCGGTCTCAGTATACCGCGAGCTGTAGCTCGCGTATACGGAGCATTGGGTCACGGGAGGACCGTAGTTTATGTCCTCCCGTGACCCTTAGGAGAACTATGGGGAAAAACACTGACCCCATAGTTCTCCTTTAAATCCCAATAAGAATATAGTCCATTGGTACTTAAAGAGGAGCTGTGATGTCCAAGCTGTGCCCAAACAAGACAAGCAGAGGGCACATGAGCAATTATCAATATGGCCTGTGGTCTTCCTGAAGCTGATTTATTTTCCCCACTACTGAATTACCATGCCTTGTTCCATACTGTGTCTTTGCATGGAGGTGGCCATCTTGGTAGAGGCAGGGCTTTACCTTATCAAGTCAAAGCCACCCCTCTTCAACCAATGACTGGTGATCTGTATGCTGGTCAGGGGAATATTTAGGAAGCAGCGAGAGAGGTGGAAGAAGTACAGATTCACAGGATGAATGGAGCAGGAGCAGGGAGATGCTTGCACTGCAGGTCCTCAGGTGCAGCTTCTAGAAGATATGAGTTCAATGCAGTCACTGGAGCAGGCGGTCACATTTCAGTCTATGAGCTTAAAGCATGGAAGTATGCTTAAAATTCAATGCATGTGTTGGGATCCAACATTGTCTCCACCCTATAACATATATTGCACGTAAAGGAAGTTGTCATGACGAAATGTAACTGTTAAGAGAAACAGATAGCCAACCCATATAGTAAGGGTTATAGGAGAAATAGGTCAACTACCAATCTCACCTATCTTGGATTGACTAGACGCGAAAAGCCAGCATGGGGGTCTACTGACAGCTTTGGCTATCTAGCCACTTTGTAGCGTTTTCCAACAAGTCAGAGAGATGGATTGTGTTATCAGCTATAAACCCCAGATATAATATATAAAAATAGGATTATTCTGCTGTCCTGAGATGTCTTTTGATCTCTTTAAAGTCATGCATTTCTTTTGAAGTGCCACAGAGGAATTCGGGAACATTTTTTGTATCCAAAGCTTCTCTTTTGCCTTCACCAAGCGAAGAAAGCAGTCTTGATTGTTGGCATGCAGAAATCTTGATGGAAAAGGGGCCTTGAATGAGCTCCATCTGGTGGCTGATGGATACACAATGAGCATGTTCGATACCAAAGGTGAAGGATCATATTATTCCATGTTCCTTAATGAAAACGTCAGGCCATCTCCTATCTGCCTACTCCATGATTCCCATGAATTTATACTTTCATATCTACTGTGTTTTCCTATCTGGCCTGTAAAATCAAAGGTTTCGTTTTTTTTGCCTTCCCAGTGTTTGCCAGTTGTTCTGTGTTTGAGTTTCTGGGTTTAGCTCTCAAGGACCAGTACTGGTAACTCTGTCTGAGTTAGTCTGTACTGATCTTAGTTCTTCAGCCTCTGTCTGTTTCTGCATTATAGCTAGGTCATTCTGTCTTGTATATCCTAATCTGACCTATATTGGCTTCTGATTCTGTCTGTCTGTCTTTGAATTCTGTTCCTGTTTGTATGTGTATCATTGTGTAATCTCACTTTAACTTTATCTATCCCGGTCCGTCTTTCTGAGGCTGTCCAGCCAGGCAATTCCATTTGCCAAACATATGAATTGGTGGGAGCAACCACAAAATGGGGTTTGGGAAGCAGGTATTCCACTCATCTGACTGCTTTAATATTTGCACCAGCTGGGTAGCAGAGAAGCAATGGCTTTTCAATATATTCCCCTGCAAAAAAGTTAAGTACTGTATAGTCCCTCTTCTTTCATAGGTGGGCTATTGAGTAAAAGTGACCCTAAGGGGACAAGGTCATTGTAAGCTACGTTGTTACTTGCACTGTAGTCTTGTTTTGAAGGAGTTGCCTTAGATACCACCATCTACTCTGATGTCTTCCACCTGTGAGTGAGGCAGGTAAAGCAACCATCAATTGCTCTGGTTGCTTCTTTCACAGGTGGGCTATTGAGTAAAAGTGACCCTAAGGGGACAGGGTCATTGTAAACAACGTTGTTACTGCTCAGGTTCAATAGTCCTGTTTTGAAGGCCCTGCCTTAGATACCACCATCTACCTTGACCTCTTCTACCTGTGAGTGAGGCAGGTAAAGCAACCATCAATTGCTCCTCAACTAGATTTACTGCTTGTGTGAGTTCTTCGAATGAGTGAATAAAATATGTATTCCTGCAGAGATACTGTGATTTTTCACAGTGCTGTAAGCTCTCCGGGCATATTGAGGTATTTTAGCCTTTTCCCTCAAATGAGGTTGGTCATATTGAAACTACAACCAAGATATAGTGTATAGTCTGAAGGTGCAGCTACTGTGCAGCCATCAGCTTCAACAAGCAACAGCCACAGGAGCTCTAGTACACAGCTCTGCGGATCAGATCACGCTGGTATGCAAATCACAACTCCCAACAATGCCTAGACTTTAGGAAAATGTATGGAATGACTTACCTTGTCTCCCTTTTCACCTCTCAGCCCTGAAGCTCCAATATTTCCCTTTTCACCCTTAATAAATAAACAAAATCAAAAAGGAGAAGGCATCAATAAACATTGTCTTACCTAAACCAATGATGGACAAAATGTGCCAATGATGGACAAAACAGTTCTCTTCTCAAGCTGAAGGTATGAGTCTCAAAGCCTAACATGGAAGTCTCTCTTGGGTGTATATAGGACATATATACTGAGTGGCCAGATTATTATGACCACCTGATGTTTGTAGGCAAATTAGCTATAATTTGGCACTGAAGTTGCTAGAGGGCCAGACCATTATAAATAGGAAAGCAGGTTGTCTACCACGACAGTAGAAGTGATTTGATTCTGAAGATACGGGGAAACAACGCGATTTAACAGCCTTTGAACGTGGGATGATTGTTGGCGCTCGGAGCCATGGCGCGAGTATCAACAAAACAGCAGAATGCGTTAAATGTTCAAGAGCAGCTGTTGTTAAAGTGTTTAAAGACCGGACTGTCAGCCGAAAATCTGGGTCTGAACGTGCGAATTGTGGCCGTCAGCGACTAGTCAATGTTAGGGCAGAACGGAGAGTGGCAAGGCTGGTACAAGACAACAGAAGGGCAACAGTGCAGCGTCAGATTCCTCGCATCACCTTTCATCATCTCGTGGAGTCACGAGGCGGCCTAACGAAGTACTGATGGGGTGGTCATAATAATCTGGCCACTCAGTGTAGTGTGTGTGTGTGCATACATATACTGTGTGTGTGTGTGTGTGTGTGTGTGTGTGTGTGTATACATATACTGTATGTACATCATAAAGTCAAAGGGAAACAAATATGTATGTTGCAATGGGCAGAAAAACATTTATTTTGTTGCCTCCTAAAATGGCAGCTAACAAAGCTGTACAGGAAAGTTGCATAAATGTCCAATATCACCATTTCTCTAGGGTGAGAACTTCTATGTACAGTACATATTTATGAATTTTATTAGTAACAACTAGCAGTCCTTGGTCATATTCAACTGGACCTGTTCTGTAAATATAAAGCTGTTTCTCTACTTATTCAAGATGACTGCTTATCCAAGATGCTCCTCAGATCTAGTTCAGAGCCAAGGAAGCCACTTGGATAAGAGGTGAAACGTCTTGAGCGTTACAGAACAAGTTCAAATGAATGTGACTAACTACTAGTAATTATACCATGACCTGGATAAATGAGAACCTTCACAGATGTATTAATAATTGATTTCACATAACACATATTGTATAATGTAATGTTATCGATTAAGTGATGGTGTCTTTTAAATTCTTACCAGGTCTCCCTTTTCTCCTCTCAAGCCAGGAGCTCCAGCCAATCCTGGAGGGCCAACGTCACCCTAAAAGATAGTAATTCAGGAAAAATGATCTTCTATCTCACAGTCACAAACATATTAGAAAGTTCTGTTATGAACACAGTACTGAAGGACCCATCCCATACACGACAACAAGGAGGTCATACTAGTAGTCTTTGGTCACATTCAACTGGACTTGTTCTGTAATGTTAAAGATGTTTCATAACTTCTCCAACCACTTCTAGGACTGAAGACGTGGCTCGGATAAGCTACAAAAAGTCTTCACTATTACAGAACAAGTCCCATTGAACGTGACTAACTGCTACTAGCTATATCATGACCTGGATGAACGAGAAACTTCACAGACAAGGAGGTCAAACTAGTAGTATTTGGTCACATTCAACTGGACGTGTTCTGTAATGTTGAAGATGTTTCAAAGTTTCTCTAACCACTTGTAGAACTGAAGACATGGCTTGGATGAGCTACAAAACTTTTTTCTCTATTACAGAACAAGTCCAGTTGAATGTGACTAACTACTACTAGCTATACCATGACCTGGATGAATGAGGACCTTCACAGACAAGGTGGTCAAATATTTGGCTACATTTAAATATAACTGAATAGTCTTGATGATGTACTGTACTTATTCAGTTTTAAAAGCCAACATTGGCATGTAGCAATCACATGACTTCTGAAATAACAGTTTACTTTAGAGCAGTGGTTCTCAACCTGTGTAACCTCAGGACCCACATTTGGGCTTGGTCATTAAGTGGTGACCAAAGTCTCACCACACTGGATCTCACGGCATTGCGGTACCATGCATTTTGGTGCAGGAAATTGAACTGTGGGTGGGAGGTGCGTTTGGGGTGCCATTCAAATGAATGACAATGCACCTTCTGCACAGGAATGCACGGTAGGTGCACTTGCCTGGTACAGTACGTTAATCGCTCACTGTATTAGTGTGAACGGGCCCTCAAAAACACTGACTCTCGGAAACACATACACACTCCCCCAAAAAAATATTGTTTAATTTTTTTAAAGATCCACCCAGTCTCCTTACCTTACCAGAACTTGAGCGGATCCTCACCCTGGGGTCCAGTGTGGGCAGTGGAAGGTATGCGGTGACCCACTGAACACGGGGTTGTGACCCACTTTTGGGTTGTGACCCACCAGTTGAGAACCACGGCTTTAGAGTATGCAGTAGTTGCACTTTAA